AAAAAACTTCCCTTTACTTTTTCTGGCAGTGTCATACAAAACAACACACGATATTTCATTCAAATCCTTGTAATTTATGATCGAACGCTTTCTCTTGGAGCCTACGGCCGCCATTTTTTTCTGTAAGATTACCGCTGATGTGCGCGGGCTCTAAATGTCCCAGATTTCTGGCAATGGAGAGATGGTGCGAGTTCTTCACTGGTAAGATAATTAAGTTACAATTCGAAACGGATACTACATTTGCACAAGATGAACTTGACTTCCTTCACGACTCACTGATTCTAAGCTTCCTCACTCCGAATTCTTGAACTTTTCCTTGAAAAAATTAGTGATATTTGTCCATGTCTTAGTTTTTCTGTGCTGAATCAAGTTCTCCAAGCAATTTGTTTTACACGTCGATTGACGATTCACAACAGCAGCGATGATGAAAATTTAGAACAAACATCGACATCTATTGAAAATGGAAAATCGCCCAAGGATTTTTGTATCATGGCCGAGGTGATAGAACTGGGTATTAAAGTAAGTTCTTTTAGGGTACGATGGTGAAGAGTACATTATCAATTCCTTTCTTCCTATTTTACCCCAAAGGAAAAAACATAAGGTACCAGTGAATCTGTTAAAGAAGAGAAATGTCGGGGAAAGCACGCATCTTAAACGGTGAGTTTTGCTATTTTATATTGAAATATACAAGATAACTATTTAAGTACACTATGCATAAAACAAAGTAAACCCAATGTATGAATCTGATAAATTAAAAGTTATTTAATTTATAAGATGTTATCAGACAGTTTCATTTATTCAAAAAATATCTCTACCTATAGGTTCTTCCTGGATGGCTTTCAAAGTTTCAGCTTCCATTGAGGCTAAGAAACTTTTCCTTTCTTTTTAGTTTTTTAAAGCAATCCTTGTTAATTCATGAAAACTGAAGTGCCTAGGAGTATGATTTCCTTTCTTGATAAGTACATAGTTTGGTGAAAGTACATCATTGATATCAATGAGGTATGTTTATGTTTTTTCTCTTTAATGCAGTTTGTTTACTTTTATGGAGACTATTTAGTCACAAAAAATTACTCTTTGCCAACGACAAATTTATTTGTTTACTTTTTTACAGTTCGATCTCTTCCTCAGTAGAGTTAGGTATCCAGGAGGGATACCTCAGTGCAAACCAGAAAAGTGAATTGGTGTGGGATGTTTGTACAAGCATCAATCGCTTCACCAGTCACCCAAAGCACTTTGAGAGGCAGTGGATTGCAAAAAAAATTGTTGAAGAGCATCCATGTATGGCTGGCAAGAAACTTGTTGACTCAGACACTGAATGGGTTAGTGAAGTTTAAAAATCTATCAGTTTGCTTCTTCTGGTTGTGGTAAAAATAAAAATTTTTGTGCTGAACTTCTTGGTTTAAACTTAAAAGGTGCAAAATAGTCACTGATCTTTTAAGTTTCTAAGTGTGATTGGCCATTACCAGTAATTATAACCCATATCAACCATAGAATTGAATGTGTAGTTTTCAGTTAGGAGGCACAGAGTGGGAAAGGAGCAGAATACAATGCCAACTGAAAAACTTGAGAACTCCACGTATTGAAAGTAATATCAATAGTTGAGTTAAGTTTACTAACAAACATGCAAAAAAATTAGGCATTAATTTATGCAGTGTCCTGACCCTTTTCCAGGGCTATTTGGAAGTCAAGATTTTCAACAGAATGAAAAAGATCCAAAAACCCAAACGTCCAGCTGATCCTGCTGGAGCTAGTCCCTCTAAGGCCAAAAGGCACAAAAAAGATTTCAGTATTTGGGCAAAGCAGCCAGACTTACCTGCAGGTGACACTCTGGCAACTTTAAAAGTCTATGCTGAGGAAAAACTCCCGAAAGCACAAAGCTCATAGGGATTTTATGGACAAAACAATCCCCCTCCGCTGCCATGAAATAATAACTGCCCCTGTATTGGTAAAGGATGTGTTGATGGAGTAACCATCTCTGAAATATTTCGTCCATGTAAGTAGTTGCTGTAAATTGCTTATATCTGTCATAAATGTAAACCAGTTACAGGTTTGTTTGTTTGGTTTTTTTTTTTTTTTTTGCCAACTTTTGGCTGACACTAGGATACCTGTCAGAGATTCCAGTGCAATACCTTTAAACGATAGGCTTCCCAATTGTACTAAGTCTTTTTCTTAAGGGGGGAAGAGGGATTTTGTGTGTACAAAAGGCAAGTTCCTTACCAACAGTCTTTAATAATAGCATTTGTCTCCCTAGATTAAGGTGTTCAATGAGGTAATGGTTGGAATGGGAGCTGCCCTTAGTGAAGAGGGATGTAACAGAGAAGGTAAAAATGAAGTTTTAAATCATTTACAAAGAAGTATTATACCTTGATTTGTGTAAAACATTCTGCTGCTGTCACAGACATCTGATTGGAAGTTACCTTTGATTTTACAACTTGTATAAGCCCTGGCTTTAAGGGGAGTTTATCCAGACTGCTAGATCAGACAATATTCTGTCATATAGGGGTTAATGTCTCCCATTTTCACAAAAAATAAATTCTTCTGTATTTAAATTTCAGAAATTAAAAATAGGACATCCCTGCTGGTCATCAACAAAGTTCTGTACCAGGAGAGTGGAAAGACAACGGGACTTCAAGATGAAGTTGTGACCATTGTGGAGGTAGGAATCTATAAAAACTGCTACTTTGGTGCAAAAATACTCTAGAACAGCTAAAATTGCTGAGCCCATTTGCTTATGAAGTCCAGATACTAAGCTTCAAGTACTTTGGGGTTGTACTCATTTTCCTTCTTTTTTCCATTTCTGTGATTTAGCAAATTTTTTTTTTAATTTTGCTATGGTCAAACCATAAGATAAATGCTGCACATGGAATAGTTGATTCTTTCTTTATTCTGATGGTTGAACACCCCACATGTTCATTTGTGATATGCTCAGATACTTTGGGAGTTGTGTATTTTTTCCAGGCTTGAGGGGAACACAAATTACAAGTATTGAGCTAAATTTCCATTTTTAATGTTTTGGCTTATAGTTTTAGAAAAACATCCTACATATATATATTATATACTTATAATTGCACATTCTACATATATATTATATACTTATAATTGCGCACGCTCATTAGTTTATTCTAGTTTGAGCACTCTGGCATGGCTTAGACAATACCACAAATGTTGGGTCGTTTGGGGTGACCCTCACGGTTCTCCCCCATCCTAGCATCAGCACTGCACTGATGAGGCCCAGAAGGCCGAAACAGTACTGTCTGCAGTTAGTTATATATATTTAACAATTATTCCACGAGCGCGCACTGGATATGACATGATAAACAGCCAACGAGGCGCGTAGCGCCGAGTTGGCTATAATCATCTCATATCCAACAAGCGCGAGTGGAATAATTGTTTTATTAAAAACATTAATTCAAATTATTAAATTGTATTAAATTTTTTAGCTCTCTTTGAATTTTAAGCTGACACATACGCTTACCTAATTTTTAGAGTATGGTATATTGGCTCATATACCATAATGGCTAAACCAATAAGGAGTCTTGAATTGCATTATCCAATGATCCAGTTTTTAATAAATATATATATATATATATATATCTATTCTGTATGCGAGGGAAACCCTGACCCTGTACACCCCAAGTAATCATACTTAAATAGAATAAATGTTTGAAAAGAAAATTTGCCCTGAGCGGGATTTGAACCCACGTCCCTCCTGTTACTAGTCAGGTGTGATGACCACTACACTATCAGGACAACCATGCTGGCAACACGGCAATCAAAGATGTGATTTACGTGATCGGAGACGTGGTCTCCCGGGAAATTTAACTTTTCAAGGTGACCGGGTAGGGGAAGCCTATAACCCCATATGAAACCCAACTAAGGATCTATTAAAGATACACGACCGAAGTCAACTTAGCGGATCACAAAGGAGGATCCAATTACGGATACAGGCTAATTTCAATTAAACAAATTCTGTATGCGAGGGAAACCCTGACCCTGTACACCCCAAGTAATCATACTTAAATAGAATAAATGTTTGAAAAGAAAATTTGCCCTGAGCGGGATTTGAACCCACGTCCCTCCTGTTACTAGTCAGGTGTGATGACCACTACACTATCAGGACAACCATGCTGGCAACACGGCAATCAAAGATGTGATTTACGTGATCGGAGACGTGGTCTCCCGGGAAATTTAACTTTTCAAGGTGACCGGGTAGGGGAAGCCTATAACCCCATATGAAACCCAACTAAGGATCTATTAAAGATACACGACCGAAGTCAACTTAGCGGATCACAAAGGAGGATCCAATTACGGATACAGGCTAATTTCAATTAAACAAATTCTGTATGCGAGGGAAACCCTGACCCTGTACACCCCAAGTAATCATACTTAAATAGAATAAATGTTTGAAAAGAAAATTTGCCCTGAGCGGGATTTGAACCCACGTCCCTCCTGTTACTAGTCAGGTGTGATGACCACTACACTATCAGGACAACCATGCTGGCAACACGGCAATCAAAGATGTGATTTACGTGATCGGAGACGTGGTCTCCCGGGAAATTTAACTTTTCAAGGTGACCGGGTAGGGGAAGCCTATAACCCCATATGAAACCCAACTAAGGATCTATTAAAGATACACGACCGAAGTCAACTTAGCGGATCACAAAGGAGGATCCAATTACGGATACAGGCTAATTTCAATTAAACAAATTCTGTATGCGAGGG